TTCAATCTTCCCCAAGACATAACAAAAATCAATTACCTTTTTCATGCAAAGTTACACAGTGCCTTCATAAAATATGAAAATTATACATTAAATACATTATTTGCGCATTTTCCTTCAGTTGTCCTTTATATACTTCATGATTTTTAAAAATTCTGTTGTTTATACAATTGCTCTTCCTTTTCCTTCCTCTTCACTTCATTTCACGCTTCTACTGGTAAGGATTCTATTTTCAATTCCTGCTCTATACTACTTATGTCTGTCCGCATAATTAATGCACGCTACACTCCTACTATTACCATTACAGCCAGTAACGATAACAATAATGTACATTATAATTCTTTGTGAGTATAATATTGCGATAGCTCTAAGAATAACAATTGAATTATTAAATGAACAATGTTAAAAAAACCTGTCACAAAAAAATAGGTGAATAAAAACTGGCTTCCTTCATGCAGTTATAATTTTGATAAACGCTTGAACATAAAACAGATTGAGGGCTGTTTATTTCACTTATCATAGCCCTATGATTTATATTCTTGATTTCCATTTTTTTTTCGTTTGACTACGCAAATTTAATGTCACAGAAGGTCTTTGGTGCACGTCAAGTGACAGGTCTTAAATATTTTAACCATATACCTGAACATATAGATCAGTTTACGGATAATAATTTAAGAGGTGTTTGTCATCATAAAAAGTTCAGCTACAATATGTTTCCATTTAATTTTAGGATATCACGTTACAATTCACTGTACGTATTTGTTAAGCAACCTTTTCTGATAATCTCATAAATCAATTAGATAGTTGAAACATTACAAATAAACTGTAGTTTATATGGTATTATGTGACAAAATATTAAAGGCTAACCACGGGATTACTTTCATATTATTTTTTAAAAAACATGGAAGGATATCAAAGAAATACGTATTTAAATATAGTCAAAAGGTACTTCTTTTTAAGGATATGTACATGAAATACAATAACATCATATCCAATGTTCTTTAAGAAGATCCATCTTTAGAAAACAAACATGGAATGGACAGCTAACCAACTTATATAACTGGGTTCCGTTAAGTATGAAGAGAAACCTCATCCACTCTTTATGTTATCGAATACATCAGATATACAGTATGGAATGCATTAACGAAGAACTCGCATTCCTGAAGAAAACCTTGACGGAAAATGGTTACCCAGAACGGTTCATAGAAAAGAATATGGATAGAAATAGTTACGACAAGAAATCTAGTTGTTCCGTCACGAAGAAAAACCTTTATATAAGTCTGGAATTTAAAGGTGATCGAACACCAGACATAATCAAAAACCGTCTAACAACAACTACTAGAAGAACATTTAACGCCGCTAAATTGCGAATAACCTTCACTAGTAGGAACTTATTTTCTGTATCCATAAAAGCCAAGCTTCTGCGTTTGGTCGACTCTATGTGCATCTACCAGTTCACCTGCTCTTGGCCGTAGCCAGCGCTCGCTTTCAACTCGGATACGGGAACGTATTCCAGCTTGGTTCTATAAAGGTGAAAGGAAAGCAGTTAGTTCTATACTTGAACACCTAATTGACTATAACCATTCTACAGATCCACAAATTGATTTATATGATTCGTTCAAATCTACCTAGATTTCTTCGTATCCAACTCTTAAAAATAGCCGAAGCTCTTACCATCCAGGAGCTTAAACCAGAACTATGCGTACAAAAGAAGTATATCTTATCGTTATCGTTACCTTGACCTTAATTATTTTGATTATCCTATTATGATTATGATTATTATTACTGCATTCCCCCTTTACTTATGTCTTATATTCTCATTGTTTTATTCGTAAATGCTCATCATATCACCATATTTATTTTTACACCTCTATGACCTTTGATTATATTAACGAAAACATTTTAATCATCAAATTATATTCACTAAATCTATTGTTATTATTCGTATTACGTAATCTAGTATTATAACCTTTTTATTGCGTCATCTTGATTAATTGTGTTTGCATTTCCTCACGGAACTAGTACTTTTTCATATATATATATATATATATATATATATATATATACGATTGTACGGCTTAATAATAAATTCATTGAAAAGAGATCCCTTCGCCGAACTTCGTGTTTTAATTGTAGAGTGTTTTTATACACTTTGTCACCTTAATCATGATTACTTCTTACTCATTTGTACTATAAATTGTCAATATTTCTAATTTCAGCACAATTAATATATGACCCTTACCAGTTTTGAAGTAAGAAAATATAAGGAATAGAAGAATATTTAAAAAAGAATAAAAGGTGTTTATTAAATTTTTCATTAAAATTAGTTAAGTAAAAGTTAATACGTTTAGTTAAAAGAGTAAAAACAAAAGTGTATCGCCTACGGGTCTTTTTCATCGATTATTAGCAAATTTCTATGTAGAAAAAAAGAGAAACAAATGGGAAAACTTTAAGAAAAAGGGATTTCAAAAAAGAAAAAAATATTTCCCATATTAAATACTCGAATAATAATAAGTGTTTATAATATGAATTATTGAAATCATTTTTTAAAAGGGAAAATTGCTTTCGTAATTATTTATAACTATAGAATTGTAAAGATTGTTGAATTTTTTCGTTGAGATTATGAATCGATCAATATTAGACCACCACTGAATACCTGGTAGTATTAGACAGCTGTTTCATGCTAGTATGGAACTTTTTGGCAATGGACTCTATAACAGTGGAATTTATCTAAGATTTGTAGTATGTCGTTAGTATGTATCTGTTGTTTGTCAATCACTAAATGATTCATATAAAATTATCTGACTATGCTATCAAAATGGTGTATATTTGAAACTCAAACCAGAAATTCTTATTTCATGAAGTTTTTATCGTTATGATCAATATCATGGGTGAAAAGCTGATGAACTAGAAATCTCAATGGTTGAGTAATGAGCAGAACAAAAGCGCATAGAATATTAAAAACATACATATTGTAGGGTATGTTGTTTATATTGACAGATATAAGTAGTATGTAACATCAGTCTGAAGTAGAATGCCTGACAGCAGAAAATTGAGAAGATCGAATTAAGAAGAACAAGAATATGAACAGAGTGTAAATATAATAACAACAAGAATAAGGTAACGATGAAGTTTATCAGAGACAACTGCTAAAAGATGTACAAATGAAGTATATTATGTATGGTTTTCATATTTTAAGAAGTCACTGTAATTTTGCATTCGAAAGAAAAACATTCTACTATTAAAGACAGAAAGTCATTGAAAATTAAATTGAATATGAATTTTTCAATGATGTACAATCAGTAATACATCAGTCTAAAGAAAAGTGACAATCTGAAATTTTTATTTTATGGTAGATTAAACCTTTTTTTTTAACATTATACCGAAAAGCAATGATGGATAGTGGCTAGCAGTGAAATCCAGGATGCGCATTTCGTACCAGTTGGGACTCGTCAGCTGGATGTACCTGCATCTCAAAGTTGATGTTCACCCTGGGACTCAAACCCAGTACCATTCGCTTCAAACGTCATCGCGTTATCCACTGAGTTACTGAGTCCTGATAGTCACTTGCTTGTGCAATGGGGTGAATTTAAATTCACTTGGTATTATTTGGCTTGTACCTTCCCATTGAGTTTTTTAAGACTGCAATTGATCAGTGTGTTATTGGCATATGTGCATACTGTGTATATGCCTCGATTTTGCCTTAATTATACCGAAAAGGTATTTCAGTCATATGCTATATGTATATGTATCACTATTTCTTTGTTTTGCTTTTGCAGTCAATATGATTTGTGATATGAAACTATTTTGTAAAATAAGGAATAAGTTTTTAATATCCATTTTTATACTGAAAAGAAAGTAAGAAATAATACTGTCAAATGTAGTTGTTAACATTAAACTATGTATAAATAATTTATCTTAGATATTCTTATATTCATATCATTCCTTAAATCATTAATACAAGCTTCAAAACTTCCAACAGTTTATAGAGAAATGATTCTACCATATGAAATAATGATGCTTATCATATGTGGGTTTCTATTTTTTTCAACAGTATTATTTATTTATTTCTTCATAATACTCCATAACTTTGATTTGAAACAAGACTCATTTGGTCACACTTGAAATTAAATTCGATTTAAATTATTTTTTTTACGTTTGGATTAAAAGTATTAAAGAAGCATTTTCTAATCTTAAATGGAAGAAAGCAGATTAAAAGTGTGGTTTCCAGATGAAATGAACGATTGGAAAAAGAAAAAAAACTCAGATTTTTCGGTACTCATTTTTAAGCATAAAACAGGATGAACAGATCACGTTATTATCAATTATTTATATGTAAATGTATTTTGATTTGTCCCCCTTTAACTAATATACATACGATTTTCTTACCTTATGTAACGATGCATTACTGATTGTAATTATCAAGAACAATTTAGTCCTTGTTTCAGTTTGTAACCATGTTATGCTAAAAATGTTGTTATTACACATTATAAACTAAATCGAATTGTTTGTCATTAAGATTTATGTTCAAAACTTGAATGAATCTGTATAGAGACAATCAAATATACACCTAAAAACTCCAATTTGACTGATGTTTCATTTAAGTCATATTATTTGTATGACGACAGTTACAGATATTGTGCTAAGCCTTATTAGTAAAAGACATTTTCTCCTATAATACGTTTTTACTTTCTATTAGGTCTATTAAAATTCTTAAAATAATTATGTTTAACAAAGTTTATAATTAATTCAGTTACACATGTGAATATCAATCTGGAGTAGTTGAAATTATTGGTATCACATATATAACCAAATTTTCAATCTTAAAAAAACATCCCTGGTATCTAATATCATAATTTTAAATGTTTCTTTCTTACCGTTTTAACTTTACCCATCCATGTCTACCTTAATAGCTGTTCTTTCATTTATGATTGGTCAATTCTAACTAACCAATAATGATGCTTACTAGAGTAATATTCATTGGATGACATCCAGGCCTCATAATAATCACAGTAAGCTACATTACAGCTAGTTAATCTACAAGGATAATTTGTTGAGTTTTAAAATTCTTTATTATTTTAGCATTGATAGTGTTCAATTTCCCATTTTCTTTTATGTAAAAGATAATCATATTTATAGTATCAAAAAAAAAACAGAAATCTCACTCAAAAGCCCCTTTATTGATTTTGTGCTCTTTAGGTAGGACAAAGTGAGCTCCCGGGGAACTAAAAATAAATCATTTAAAATAAGTAACATTCAAATCGATATTTATTGATTATTTAAAGATAAATGGAGAGGAAGTTATTTAACACTTCCACAAACATAAGACATGATTTAGAGAACTATCAAAAAATTTATTTACCTTTTAAAATACACCTATAAAATACAATGTAATAATAACTTGAAATTCATAAACAATACGAATAAACGTGATAAAAATAACCCGTCAGAAATTAACAATATAATGGATATTTCACAAGTCATTTTAATACATTATGAGAATGATAGAAACTGGATATTATGGCGTAATTCTACGCTATTTTTATTGATTCTTTGTACTGGTATTTTTATATCCATTGATATTTATACAATATCTGATAGAAAGTATAATTTAAATGGGAATAATTATGGAATTGATGAGTCGTCAGTAATAATTAAGAGAACAATTAAAAATATTATTGAAAAAGACAAAGATAGTAGTACAGTTGATTTCATGAATGATCAATCTATACATTGGAATATTAATGATAATAACAATAATAATAATAAAATGAATGAAACTTTAATAAGATCTCACTATTCAAATCCTTATAGATTAAAAAACTACATGAATAGTATTACAAAAACATGTTTAAATATGGAATCTATTGATTGGAATATGATGTTATGGAGAGATAAAGGAAACTTTTATAATGAACGTAAGTTTCTCTTAAATTATTAAAAAAAAAGGAATATATATTGTAATTTGTAATTCTATTGATGAGGCCGATATTTAACTCTGGTGACCATTTTTGATAGTTTTGTGTTGTTTTCTTTTGGTGTGTGCTAAATCGTTTAATTATAGATGTTTCATTATTGTTCTGTACACAATTATCAACACCTACTTTAAGGATAAAGTGGGATCTTTAAAACTAATAATAAATTATTAGCAGCACTTCTCAAAATTGAGTATGTTTACAAAGTGGGTGTAAGGTAAAATGTCCAGAACGAACGGAAGCTCTGGGATTAAATTATTTTGCACAGAAAACATATAGTAGCTGAACCTATGTTGAGCCCATACAGGTTATTCTAGTTTCTGACAAACCAATCTATTCATTTTTCTTGAGTCTTATTTTGGCTTTGTTAATTATTCGCATCATCTCTCTTAGCTTTTGCCTTGCCTCGCCTCTACTAAAATTGACTATAAATATTCGGTAACCCTTAATTTGAGTTGGCTTACATGCCTTCTCCACCGCATGTCATTTTGTTTCACTCTCTTCGCTTTGCTCTGTTCATTTCATTTTTGACTATGTGTTTGGATTAATGATTAAATGCAATACACGTATTCAAAATTAATTATCATAATTGACTTATTTAATTCCGTTATTCATCAACTCGATTTAAGTCGATGATTATATATGAGAATAGCCGGCATGCATATTTCGACAACAATCAACATGCGATCAAATTAGAGTCAAATATTCTGGGGCTACTAAGAACACAAATTTATTTAAAACCACTTATAAAATATTTATAACAAAAATCAGTGATGTCAGTTCTTCATAAATCACACATCAACAAACAGCCATAAATATATGGCACACAAATTTTAATAATCTAACAAATCTACATAAGTTGTAAATAAATTAACTTTTCTGACGTTTGGTGACATAGTATAAGCCACTTCTTCAGAGTATAAATAACTAAATCAAAATTAATCCAAGTTATTATTATTAAATTATCAAGTCACACATTGATAATGATACCTATATAAGTTAGGGTTAGGGTCAGGGTTATATATATATATATATATACATATATATATATATATATATATATATATATACTTCAAAATTGTAATATTTGACAAATTAGAAAGGTCATTCAATAAAGGTCAAGATGATTTGGAGTAAAGTGTTCAGTCACAATAAATAGAGAATAGTATTATAGCAAAGTTGAAAATGCAAAAATTCTTTTGTGTGAATAAAATGCATAGTAGGTGAAATTAATCTTGTCAATTGAGATAATAATAATAATAAGATTGTTGTGTGAATATAATATATAATAAGGTGGGGGGGGGCGTGTTATCAAGGTAATTACAACAAACGAATTGGGAATGATGAATGTAAAGATTAAGATAGAGATAATCAAATACTCAACTACATTTGTATAAATTAATATTTCACTGATTCTATCTAATCTGATAAGTATAGAAAACATTTATTTGTTATTCAATATAGAAATGAGTAGGAAGATATATATACATATATCTCATTAAATCCTGTTCTGTTCCCCTTTTTTCAAACAGAATATGATAAGATCAACTACAATTTGTTGTTGTTGTTGATACAGAAAAAAAAAGAAATATATCAAATAATAATGATTATCTTAAAAAATTCACTCATTTAAGAGGAGGGTGTTATGATTTAAAGAGAGAAAAAAGCATTCATTCCAACCAATGATTATATTAAAAAAAAAGAAACATCAAAGAGATAACATAAACTAATTATTGAGATCATGAACCGATTGATGTTAGACCACCACTTTTGGAAACCTGGAAGCACTGGTCTAAAACATCAATCGGTTCATGATCTCAATCAAAAACTTAATAATCTCCACAACCCCTATACTAGTAATAAACTAATTACTTGAAATAAATAAATATTGATTATTACTTTCAGGAAATAGTTTTTATTATTTTTTTTATTGATTTATGATTCGGATTCATAAAGATCCGAATAAGATTTTTAATTGATTTCATTAAAAAAGTTAATTTGAGTAGTGAATTGAAATAGTAACATTTTTCTTTGTTAAAAATGTAAATCATTTGTAAAGCTTATTAGTTCTTTGTAACTATGGCTAGTTTTGTTGTGGTTTTCTTATACTCATTTATAAATGATTACTTTTAATCTTGATGAATTATTTCACTTATTTCAACACAATACATATCTAATAATTGTTTCAGCTCTCAGTATAGATTCTGAGATGATTATGAACTTGACTGAAGATTTTAGACAAAACTAATCAATAGTATCAGAAGGAGTTTTGTGGAGATTGTACTAATTTCAACAGTTCAGATCATGAGTCAATTCAAGCTAGAACACCGTGTAAAACCTGGAAGAACTGGATGGCCGTTTCGTCCTATTGTGGGACTCCTCAGCAGTGCGCATCTGTGACCCAGGACCTATCAGTCTTGCGCCAGGTGCTTAACCAGTATACCAGTGGGCCGGCATCCAGCCGTGGTAATGTCTAACTTCAACTAGTCCACGAAATTGAGCGACACATCCACCATTGTCATCAGTGCGTTACTATCAGTGCTTCCAGGTTTTCCATGGTGGTCTAGCTTCAATTGACTGATGATCTCAACTGCTGAGATTAATCAATACTATCTTATTTGATATAAATAATCTATTTTTAAAAAAATTCGACCTTTCACTATCATTCAGTAGAAGTACATAGTAAATACGAAACCAAGTCATTAAGGTTAACCTATGAATCTCTACAAATACTTATTTATCATATAATTCAGAGAACACATGTTGATGAGAATAGTCAAACAGTCAGTCAGAGACTAGGTGAAAAAAAGTTCATCAACCATTAACCATATAGAGCAGACAGTACGTTTTTACTCCTTACGAACACAGACTAGTAACTCATTAACATAATCGTAAAAATGTATTCTAGTATTACTATTGTAAAATGTAATCTAATTATAAAATGGAATCCAAGTATAAAAAGAATTTTACGTATTTTAACACACTGAAAATTCCCCACTATTTCAAAACAAAACAAAATACAATCAAATAAAAACCATAATAAGATGTGATTGGAGATCGTATTCATTGTATTCAAACACATGATATTGTAGTGAACAAAATCACAAGTGCGGACAATCGAATGTATTTGAACACAAAATCTGAGAACTATATAGTAAGTCGTTAATTTGCAAAAAAATCAATCCATCATCTCAAACTTGACTGTTCCTGTTGCAAACATCAATCCATTGTCTCGAATTTCATTGTTCATGAGTTCAGTTCTCATTCTTTCCTCATCGACCTTCTACTAAAATACATTCTATGCCTGAACACCGTTATATACTACATGTGTGGAGATAAGTAATCCACACCACAGTATCACATAAAAGCCATTTAGTTAGTTAACTTAATAGTGACATTACAATAGTGACATTAACTGAATTCGATAAATAAAACCAAGTGATCACCCAACATTAAAAGAATTGTCTTAAAATAGATTTAGCAATAATAATAATAATTGTCTGATGAAAACCAAATGAACGGCCAAAAGTGATAAAATTAAACATGCAAATCTCATTAAACAGTGTATTTGCTTAGTTTTTTTTCATTCTCTTTATCAAAATCAAATTTAATAGTAATAGCATATATGATACAGTGATGGAGACAAAAAAAATTATCAGAGGTAGATAAATAAGTGGAGAAGATTTGTAGTTCAGGTAGAAGTCTACCTGAAGTAACATTGCAGTACCATGTATTCAAATGGTGAAAATAAATAATAAAAAAGAAACTGGTTTTCTTTTTAATACTTTTTCACATCGTATGTATATTTACTCTTGAGTTAACTTAAGATTTTAATAAAATCTACTAATCTTTTTCAATAAAACAAACAAACAAAAACTGCCAAATTTAAAGGAACTAGTTCATTTTAGTCTAATGAAAATCTAATGTCAACGTTCTCAGTAATAGACGATGTAAAAAAAAGATGGACGAAGCAGTTTCTGTATATTGTGTTTTAATGAAAACGTAACGTAAAATAAGACGAAATGATTCATTCTTTTTGTTGTTGTTGATTTCATTATGAGGTAATAAGACAAAAAAAGTATCAGAGGTAGATAGATAAATGGAGGAGATTTGTAGTTCAGGTAGAAATCTACCTGAAGTTTTTGCTGACGAAGTCGTTCAGAAGAACGATGAAAGCTCCACGAATAAACCATCCAGCTTGTAGTGTCGGTTATTATGTTAAGCTCATATACTTTATTCTAGCTTTCAAACAGCCCATTCTATTCATTCTACTTGAGTCACATCCTGACTTTGTTATTTATTCGCTTATCAGTCTTGACTGTTTATATATAAACGCGTAGGTGTGTGTGTGTACATTTCTTATCCCATTACTCATCACATGTAACTTACATTTATGTAACTATAAATATTAATTAACGCTTGTTTAAATGGGAGTTGGTTTACCCACCATCACCACTGAGCGTCGTTTTGCTTCTCTCTATCCCATTCGCTTCATGTACAAAATATATGTATTCACAAGTCCATTCTCGTTATTCGACTTGTTTATTTCCGTTATTGATTAACGCGATTTAAGTCGATGATTATATGCGAGGATAGGCGATAACAAACATTCATACAATCTAATTGGAGTCAGATCCACGGGCCACTAAAGGCTCACAGAACAAAACTCCATCAAAAAGAAGATAAATAAGTTTCGAAACATATTTTGTATAATGGCATTTAAGAATGAAATCAAACATATCATAATTGATTTGTGAGTTTCTGGAGTTGTAACGAGTTGCAGTATCATTGTAATTAGCGGACACTCAAGTAAGGACAACCAATTTACTGAGGAGTCCCATACTAGGACAAAACGGCCGTCCAGTGCTTCCAGGTTTTCAATGGTGGTCTAGTTTCAACTGACTCATGATTTCAATCTGTGAAAATTTACTATTTAACACAAA